ATTTATACGAAATTACTGCATACATAAACTTTTTTATTAATCTCTTTATAGTTTGTAATCCCTGCTGAAAATAAATATTTATAATTCATTTAAAATTCATTATGATTTTATTGTTTATTATTATTTTTTATTTATACTATTCTGACGGCTAGCCGTAACTTAGTTTTTTTAAAATTTAATTATTAAATATGACGAACGGAGTGGGAACCTTCCTAATTTCCCACGATGAAAACGCGTTCGAGATAAAGTATTTATAGTGGCCCGAGCCTACGTACTCGGCCTTACAATCAACGCAAAGAAAAAAATTGATAAAGTGAACATAGCGGCTGAAACAAATTTTTATTTTTTCAACTTTATCAATTTTTTTCTCGAAATCTATGGACTTTAGAAAAAAATTCATAAGAACAAAAATGTCTTAGAATCACTCGAGAAACATCCTAAAATTTTTTCAGAATTTTTGGAGACATTTTTGAAAATTCCATTTCCCAAGTTTCCCGGAAAATCAAAAATTGTCTCAAAAAATTCTGAAAAAATTTGAGAATGTTCCTCGAGCGATTCTAAGGCATTTTTGTTTTTATGAATTTTTTTCTAAAGACCATAGATTTTGAGAAAAAAGATGATGAAGATTGAAAAAAAAAAAATTCGTTTTTTCCGCCATTTTGTAAAGAAGCGATGGTTCAAGGTAAACAAAAAAATTTCCTGTTAAACTTCAAATCCCATGATCACCTTTGATCACGGTCGCAAGGTGATATCTTCACCGTAACACTTCGAAAAAAAATCCTAAAAATTTTTTTTTTCGAAAATTTAGGTGTTTTTTATGTTTCAATCGAGCATATCTCTTTTCCTGTGAGTTTTATCATGATTCTGTCAACGGATTCTGAAAGAGCATACAATTTTACATCAGAATATGTGGTTCAAGAATTTTTTCAAAAAAGTGCAAGAAATTTTGACATTTTGGACGTTAATGGGTTAATAAAAATAATTTTATTTGGTTCAAAAATATTGATTAGAAGTTAAAATATCTATAAACGTGTTTTAATAGCGATGTTTAGAGGTAAACTTTAGGAATTGTTTTCATCTATTTAATCATCGTATCAGCAGCTGAGCTGATCGAACATCTCCTGAGGGATGATCATGTGACAGTTATTTTGATCAAAATTAAGCAATTTTGGAACGAATTTCACTGACACACGTTTCATGCCCAAAACATCCGAAAGAATATCATGGCTTGAGCCAACCGATATGCCACCATCTTCTGCCACTTCTCTGATGGTGATTCGATGATTTTTTAACATAATTTCTTTCACTGCTTCATAATTCCTACTTAAAATGGATCAAGCTGGCTATTGAGTTAGAAATAGTGTGAAATTACACGGTTAGCGAAATCGAATTTCCGACAGTACTTTTTACGGACAAGAAATTTAGACCGTACATAGAAGATTTATACTTTATTATCTTCACGAACTATAGTACTCTTACTAGAATTTTGAACGAACGAAAATTAACATCTCGCTCGGAAAGGTGGGTGTTGGAATTTAAGTAATCAGATTGTGAAATTGTGCATCGAAAAGGAGTGCTACATCATGTGCCGGAAACACTTTGGATCACCGTGGGCAGTGATAGCAACTAACGTGGTTGAGCTGTCCCATAGCAAAAACCGATTTAAATACTTGGTGGTAGTTCAGGATTTATTTACTGAATAGGTCGAACTGAAACCGTTGCTGTCGACGAACGGTCTCGCTTTCGCTGTCGCGATTAAAGAGTTAATTCTCTTTAGGTGGTTTTGACCCGAGTATATTGTTAGTGATAATGCGAAAGCGTATAAAAGCAAGAAATTTCAGATTAGGTTGCAGAAATACAGTATAGAACACTTGCTTTGCTCCGCATATCACCAGCAAAGTAGCTGAATAAAACACATTAATCGAAATTTTAAAACGATGATAGCAATATTTATAGACCCCGATTACAAAATCTGGGATAGGCAAATTCCCCCACGCTATAAATACAGCGACACAGACGTCGACGAGGGTATCGACAGCGTTTTAACAAAGAACCTGTAAAGAGTAGACACATCGACGTGGTACAGGAAAAGTAAAAGAAATACTACGATAAAAGTAGGCGTCACATCCTTTTCCAGGGAAGCGATTTAGTTTGCCGCAAGGTGCATACGTTTTTGAACGTGGCGGCAAGTAGAAATGTAAAATTTGCTCTGAAATACGACAGACCATTTAAAATAATTTCAGTATTGTCGCCCAAGATTTATGAGTTAGTTACAGATAGTAAGCATAGTATGACTAGCGTGAATGTTCTCGAGATTAAATTCCCGAGAAAGGTTCGAGCCGTGTGCCTCGGCCGCTGTGGTTCAGGAGCCAATGGATGTCTCGAAATATCCACCGAAAACTGCTGAGATTATCGAGGTAAAACCGTTTTCAAACGCAGAGCAGGCGGCCTCTAATGACACCGGGCGTCGGTTGGTAACTTTTGGACATACGACATTTTTTATTCACGAAGCAGCGGAATTGTCGAAGTTGATATCAGCTAGGAGAGGAATCATCTGCTGTGGCTGGACGCCCCTTGAGATGAGTGGCAAATAGGAGGCGTAGGACATGGACGATGATTGGTAGGGGGTTTGCAGTCGCTCGTTGCAAGACGCCACCAGTGGAACCTTAGAACTGGTGTTGAGCTCAAGCGACTAAGAAGAGAAGAAGATGCAGGCTCGCAAGCTGCCTCTGGTAGCTTCGCAGCCGCACATTCATGCTCCTCTTCCTTTGAATCCATTTAAGCGGCAGAAACTGATCCGCCGTACCAGTTTACCCGATGAAGTGGGCCTGATCATTTCTCACCGGCTAGCTACATGGAGGACGATAGGGGGGAAGAGACTGAGGATCGTCAGAACGCGAGTAGAAAGAAGCGCTTGAGGCCTTTCAGTCTATCCGCGCATTACACTGAGAGACCATCTTCCAAGCAGGTGCCGTCGATGCCTCGGAACTTAGAGGAGGCTGTTGTGAAATCAACCAACATTTTCACACTTCCGGCATCTTTGGTGGATACCATGGAGGAGGCTTCAAGAGGTAGAATAGGCGCCGTGGCCGAGGAGATGGAAATAGTGGGTGAAAAGGGGACCATGATAATGCCAGTAGCCTCCACGAAAAGTGGAACCCATTGTTCCGAAACAATCGACACTCTCGGCGGTCCAATTGTCTTAACTCCCCAGGCAGCGAACTTAGCCTCGATCCCGATTACGGTATTACATCTTGGGCGTTAGCTACCAGATAAACCTAACATTTAAGACGTACCAATATAAAATCTAGTAAGCAAGGCTCACTTACATTTTCCATATATATTTATGTACGGTGCAGAATTATGAACAAAAGAAACAGAGACATGAATGGATGAGTGTTATAATATCTGCAATATTATTGTAGACATGTCTCGTAGATAAGGTTTAAAAATGCAAAAAAATGACTAGTTGAATATTTTTTAACCAAGTAGTGTTTATTTAAAATTTAACAAAATGTGTTAAGTACGTTACAGCTGCAGTTACCAAATACATCAGATTTACGTATAGGTGTGGAACAGTGGTCTAACATGCAGGTTTTAACTTGAATTCTTACGAACTTCTCACTACGGCGCTTTGCAAGCTCTTATAGCTACCGAATTTCGTTAAATTTCCGATATTTACAATCTTAAATAAGATTTGCTTGCTTAATCGCGATATGCAAAATAAGACTTTTTAGTTTTCCATCTGTCTGAGAGTTTATAAGAGTGCAATGACTTTTGCTGACGTATACAGAATTTGAGTTTCTTTAAGAGCTTGAGATTCGGAATTTTATAAAGGAATTTGAGAGACGTTGTAAGACGTAACAATTGTATAAATAGATTTTTATAAAGGTTGTTTTAGTGGTGATAATACACACAACGATCATTTTAAATTGCATATATACCAATGTATTATCAATCTGGAGCAATAAATGTGGTTATTAGATCGATTTTATTTTTTTTATTTTTTCATTGCTTTCCAAAAAAAAGAAAAATAAAATAGTCCGTTAATGTTAAACAGTCGATGCGGTACTCGTAAAAAGATTAACTGCCGCGGATCGGCGCGAATTCAGACCTGCGCAGCCGTGTTAGCCGACCTATAGTACCGTAAAATACACAATGCGTAGCACTAATGCTCACAATTGGGCACCGAAAATTCAGGACGACGATATTCACGGAACATGCACACGTAGTTATAGGAGAAGAGAGAGAGAGAAAGAAACTCATGCTGCTCCTGTTGATTTACTGTTCCTGCTCCTACTACTATGATTTTAGTTATTACAAACCGTTTCCAGATCGTCGGCAGCAGCAAATGATGCGACCTGGCTTACCAATGCGTTGTCGAAAAGACCACAAATTCCGCAGCACTCCGCGGCGCTGAAGGAAGTTTCATTAAAATGCTGCTGTCGGTCCAGCGTTCTAATAGGAAAAGAGCTAGTGCACAGCCAGATACTCAGTTGCACTGATCCTTTCACGACCGCATGCAAGTGCACGCGCAGCGCGGCTTTTGTATGCATTCACTCAATCCTATGTCGCACCAAACATTCTATCTTCTCTTTTCTCTATCGGTCTCTCTATCTCTTTCCCACGTGTATCTTTACTTCATTGTTCACCAAAATCGGTGTCGCTTCTTACCCCGGCTCCGCCAATTAATATCTAAAAAAAAAACCGGCACGACACACCGGCATGTAGAGGTACACTCACTCATACACACACATTTATCCGGTCTGACAAGAGCATATGCACAAATACCGAGAAGCAATGTATGAAGACAAAATCGATAGGAAAACGGTTTTGTCCGTTAAAATTTTGAAAGCTACCTTTTCACTATTTTATCACTTATTTAAAAAAAATTTTTATTGATATTTAGTTAAAACACTATTTTTAATTAAAATATCGTTAATATAAAAAAGTTTCATATTTTGCATTATTTTCATTTATATGAAAATTGATTTTTCAAGGTATCAGTATTTTATTTAAAAAGCCAAATAAAGAACCTGCCAAGTTATTTGCATTCATGGATCCACTTTCTACAGAAGTATGGATGTACATGGCCACCGCTTATTTGATAGTATCTCTTATGTTATTTTTTCAAGCAAGGTATTTATTGTGATATATATTGAAATTTACTTATAGATTTCCTTTATTACATTTGTTTGAATACAGCTACAATGTACAATATTTATGATCTGAAATAAATTTTATTAACTACAGTTATGGCAAAAGTGGAACGTCTAATTTTTCAAATAGGGTCTTCATTTTGTACTTTATTCATTTACTATACGTTATATTTTTGAAAAGCTTCTCTCAAAAAAAAATTTTTTTGAAACTTTAAAAAGATCTTAAAAAAATGTAGATTAAACAATGCAGAGTTTATAACGATGATGCGACCGATGGACTGGAATAGTTACATCCGCAACCGTCCACACAAATCATTTATAGGGGTAATTTGAGAGATGCATACGCTCCTACGGCTAAATAATATTCTGGTTGTGTATCCTAATCGTGTGCTAAACTAATGTCGGAATAAGTATTTATAACGGGTTAAATGCAAGCATACTCGATTAAACTATATTTACTTTATTTACAAAAATCCACCTGCCCCATGATCTTCTTCTATCGTGAATATAACCTAATTGCATAAATCGCACAGCGCGCGCAAAATAGGTTTGGGGGGCATTCTTCTTAATAACCTCTTCCGTTTAACACGATTTATGTCGTTGAGCGATACGACCGATGCACAGATCGGTAAAACTTCTGGATCGTACGCGCATGAATACAATGCTTGACTACGCAAGACATAAGTAGAGACGACAACGAAAAAAACAAGTCAACGAACATTTTCGCTGCTATTGCCCTATCACTGATCGTTGTTGTTGACACTTTCAAATAGCCGCTCTTACCTTTAGTGCAGATCCTCGCCAATATCCACAGACGCATTAGAATAAGACAGTGACTGCACATGATCTAGCCACCAAATATAAGACAAACTCATACGTTTGCTCATCGGGCGTATATCCTCGAAAACCAAAATGAAACCCTCCGAGGTCGCACCTGAAAACTAAATAAAAATCAAAGAAAACGAAACAAATCAATGACGCAAGTGCTTCAACAATCCAGTTGTTACTGGCCATTTAAATTGTTCACTCTATCGTCTAATTTCTCTTCGTCGCTTTTGTTTTCGTGCTTCTCGAGTTTGCCATCTCTCTCCTTCCATAGTCGTTGGCTGTTTCTAGCTCTACCAGTTATTTCGTCAGCCGCACCTCGGACAGCGAAACAGGCAAATGAACATTTTTTAATTTGCAATTTTAGAAATTATATATATATATAGAAAGTCATCTTTTTACATCTATAATTTATCTTATAAATCTACGAAAAAATTATATTTGGTTAAATCCAATGGGATACTTATCAAACTTTTCTTCTGTGTATTTTTATAAATAAAATTTTCGACATTTCTTTGAGAAAAAAGGTTTTCATGATACAAATCTTCTTTCGAAATTGATAATCATTAAATGGTCTAATTGTCTAATTGGATGAAATAGTGAAATCTGCCTTAGCACTGAATGAAAATCAAATGATCTCTAGAAACATGTACATGCGCACGATCGCAATTTTTTGAGATTTTTGTTTTCTTGTGATATCTCGGTTAATCTGACTAAAAAAATTCTTCTTTCTTATTTTGCAGGGTTTTTCAAGTTCTACAAGATGTCTTTATTAAGAAAGATTTTGTCTCGAAATTCCATTTCTTATGGTGGTTTGATCATTTTTGAATATTACATCTAAAAAATCAGATAGACGTATCTCTAGAAAAAATTTATTTCGTATACTTACACTCAAAAGATACGTGTGATGTTTTTTAGATTTTAACAAAAGGAACTAGAGGGTTAAAAATGATATAAACGCTATTTTTATATATATTCGCCTATTTGCGCTCTCCACAACTACTAAAGCACCTCTAAATAAGTTATAATAATATTTCTCCACACTTGAAAATCTTTTTCTAACATCCCCCATTTTCAGTACATAACAATATTAATGTGCAGTAGATCCACCAGATATGATTTAAATGATGAAATCGGTGGTTTCGGCATATCGATACGTTTAAATCTATTTCAATATTTAGGCTTTATTTTCGAATATGCTTTTCTTCTACTAATTAAATATAACAAGTAACATCGAGCCAATATGTGAGCCTTTAATCATAATCTCTAAAACTCTTGTTCGGGAAAACTATAATTTTAGTTAATTCCCACTTGAAAACAATCCGGGAAAGAAATATTCCTATCAGAATGAGTCGTCTGCAAATTACCATTAACATAAAAGTTCAGCGGTGCTAGATACTGTATATTGACAGTGTTGTTACGATTAAATACCTACGACATCGTAGTCATCGTCTCCGTCATAAATTTATTTCTTTTCAATGCGTTTTGCGAGGTAGATTGACAATATGTAAGCAAGCTTGAGTCGATCGATCGATATCCGAACTTTTTGATTATCAATTTTGATTACATAAGATTTTTCGTTGTGTTCAAGGGCTTTATAAGGTTTTTTATATGGAGGATTGGTCGGTATCCATATAGTGTCATGACGAAAAAAAAAACTTAAGGCAAAGTAACTGACTCAATGCAACGGTAGTCGATTTAATTAATCGACTCGTTCGCGATTCTGCTTCTCGCGCGTTAGTTCGAACTATTGAGAGAGAGAGGGGGCGCGCGATCTTTTGAATAAGCAGTTACGCCTCAGCTATTTACGCGAGTTTACCGCCGATTTGTGTTTTCGCACTTTGTTTTCGACGAAAAAAGTTTTCTCTGGGGCAAATACGTGCGGGTGTGCAACGACGATATTGCAGCAGCAAGCAGCGGTATAGAAGCAGCAGATAACAGCTGATAGAGGAAGTACAAGGCGGAGCAGCTGATTAATCGAGGTGCAGCGGCAGTTGATAATTTTGCAACAACAATTACGCTTGATCACCGTAATTGCACCGCATGGTAGGTGCACCTTCCGTCATATTAAGCGAAACAAAATACATTCACTATTTTGTCTATTCGTGATAGCATTATATTTTTTGTATTCGCGTCGTGCGTTAGTTCGCGGTAGAATTCAAAATTACTCCCTCTCTCTCTCTCTCTTTCTCACCGAACATAATTAAATTGTAAAATCCTATTTCGTGCGTCAGTCTTTCGGCCCAACAAAGACTATAGTGATTTTTTATTAATTAAAGTCTGTTAAATTTATTCGCCGTTTTCGTCATTTGATTTTCCTGGTAGCTGAAGTATTTGAAACAGGCTTAGGTTTTAATCCAATTACATCTAGGGGATTAAGAAGATTAGGAGTAAAGTCGCTCACACTTAAAACTCATCAAGTGTAACGAGACACGTGACTTAAGGTGAGTTCACCTCCGATCGATAGAAGACAACTAAGATAAATCATCTGACGTTAAGGCGAATACACGTATTATCATCGTATTTAACGGAGCGGCGGTTTGCTCTGCATCGTGGGAGTTTGTTCTTAAATAAATTTCCAATTTTCACATTATCTCCGCCGTTACATCAATTAAAATATAAACATTTCTATCACTACATTGTTTTCAAAATGTAGGTTTGACATTTTTGACAAATTTTTTAATTGTATGACGAAGCTAGATGTTGAATTATGATTGCAAGCTGTACAAAATTCTACAGGTAAGCGTTTATCTATACCGTAAATAAGTTCGGCGTAAGTCGCTTCTATCGTAGATTCTCTTGGAATGTGGTACACATGCCGAGTAATATAATAGGCAGAGTCGAGACTGAATCTCTGCGATCGTGACATTTTATTAGGGTCTTGAGTTACCTGTGTATTTTTTCGACTAACACGTTAGTTTGCGGATGATAAGATATAGTGCGAATGCATTTCATTCCAAACATCTAACAATATTCTGCAAAGAGCGTTGACTCGAATTCACGTCCTTGATCGGTTATGATCCGTGCAAGAAGGCCAAAATGAGAAATTCATGTGAAGAGCAGGGCCGATACGATCACTGCAGCTTCTATGTTGGCAATTGGAATTACTTCAGACTAACGAGAAAAGTGATCTACCCACCTAAGATAACATCAGTTTCTTTCACAGTAACTCATGATTAAATCGTTGTTAATATGCTCGAATCGACCGGTTAAATTCAAAAATCATTGAACTGGGAGGAAATTTATCGGGTCACTTTGAATCGCCGGGAGACAAGAAGTGTATGCAGACGTCCATTCTCTGCATTCTTTATTAATTTGGGGCAATCGAAATGTGAAACAGTAAGCTGCTGGATAATATGTACTATAAGTCCGGATGAGGTAGGCTATGCAGCAAATTGAATATGAAATGCGGTGCAATGTAAAGACACCGATATTTTCTGACAACGCGGGGCAATACATAGGCAACAAAATTTTTAGAACCTTTAATGTGCTGCATTCTAATAGTGAATTGAGAAATGTATAGCAGATATCTAAATTAACGCGGTGAAATTCAAATTCTGATTATAGACAAAAGTTAACGGTTTATACTTTGTGAAAACTTATAAAATTTATTTTTTTCAGCATATATCGGAAACGTTCTTCAATGATCAAAATAGAAATTTTGCGGTCATATATTTTTACATTCTTTATTATTCAGAGTTTTGTTGAAGAAGACGCCATGCGTTATTTACACGCTGCTACAATACGCGGCCAATTGCAAAATCATCTCAAAATCTACAGACAACCAAACCAATACACTCCTAAACCTACAGACTTCCAAACCTACAAACCTCCAAACATATACACCTGCAAATTTCTGAACATACAGACAATTGTACTTACAGACTACGATATCTATAAATTCCTACTCACAAACCGTAAACTCACAAACCATACCCTCAAATCACCAAACTTTAATGAGTTAATATCTCTAATGGGTTAATACACACAAATCCCAAATCCACAAACCACATATTACCAATCTCATTAACCCAAAAATCTCAAATCCTCAAACTCCTAACTCACTCACCCCAAACCCACAAAACTACTAACACTAAACCCACAAACCCCAAATCCACATATCCCAAATTCATAAAACTTTAAACCGCAAACCCA